TATAAGAGGCCATCTATTAGAAGGAGTATACTAGTTTAAAAAATATTTCAAATAACAGGCATACCAAATTGAGAGGCTATTAAGGACCAATTACCCGAATAAACCAATTTAGAAGTTACCAAGATTGGATAGTGAGATATAGGGTGAATATGATGGGTAACTAGATATAGTTTAAATACCAAATCTAGATATAATCTAATATATAATAAAAATGTAGCAAACTCTAGTAGGTTTAAATCATAGATAAAAAATGTCTAAGTCTGTATTTTTAAGTTAGATGAAGATATGAGACAAGACCTCACCTTAATACTGAAAAAAAAAATTAAAGATACTGTTATCAAATGTATTTTTATTAAAGAATTTTTTAGCAAATTTTTTATTTTTTAGTTCTTTTTAACCATCTTTAGCTACTTGATTGGCTTGTTTTTATATATTATTTTTCAAAATATTTTAGTTGTATTCAGATAGTATATTAGTTGAAAAATTATTTTCAGAGAACAAGTCAAGATCATCAAAATAATTTGCTAATGAAATTTGTAATTCAGCCTGATATATATTTACAAGAACAAATTAATTATTTGATTCAATATTATTGAATTCAGTAGCAATACTAGTTTCAGAGGCAATATTGGCTTTGGAGGTGATACTAGTTTTAGAGTAATACTGGCTTTAGAGATGACACTGGCTTTTGGGATAATACTGGCTTTAGGGTAATACTTGCTTTGGCTTTAGAGGTGATACTTGTTTTGGTTTTAGAAGTAATATTAGTTTTGGCTTTAGAGGTAATCTTAAATTTAGCAGTATTAACTAAATTAAATAAATAAATAAAATTAGTATTTTAAATTGTTTAAATAAAAAACTAAAATTTGTACAAAATTTATCTTTTAATACATTATTTGAAATAGTCATTAGCACATTAAAAAAATCTATTAATACTTTTTATTATATTACTAATTTCAGATATTTATATATAACAAGATCTTTTTGAAACTTGTGCTTTGTAATTAATATTATAACTGAATCTGAATATCCAAGTTCTTTTAAATATTGTACTGCCATTTTCTGCTCAGAATAGTTTAAGATATTATGAGTGCTAATCTAAATTTTTATAGTTTCATATATATTGCAAAAATAGTTTCTTAATGTTCACTTACCAATAGCATATCTATAATACTATTATCTATTAAATTCAACTTAAAAACATTAGTAGAGTTTAAAAAAACAAACTATCAAACAAATAAAAAAGAATTATCTAAATTTATTTGTACTATAAAATGATATGATAGTGGTAAATATCATACTAATTCAGTAAAAAGTTGTTTGGCAGCTATTTGAAGTTACCTTAACCAGCATTTGGTTATAAAAAAGCTGATTAATATATTTAATTCTAAAGTATACTTTGATTTGAATCAAGTCGTTAATAGAAAATTAAAAAATCTTTCTGCAAGAAGATTTGGTAAACATGTTAGTGAGGTCAAACAAATTCTTGATTATCTTATAATACAGTGTGATAGTTTAGAAGAGCTGTTATGTCAGATTTTTTTATAATGCAATATTGTTAGTACTACAAGATAGTAAATATTTAAACCTTCAAATTAATAGTTTTATTAAAAGGTTCAATAGAGATATTGACATTAAATTATATCATTCAAAAGCTAATCAACATAGGTTTGAGAATTATAATACACAAGTAGAAATAATTAGTTTGCCCAATATCAAAAGTATTATTAACAATTATGAATTCTATCTTACTAAACACCTAGCAACTATGATAACAAATTTTTATTTGAAACCTTTCTCTATAAATTTAGGTAATTCTTTTTTATTTGTTTGATAGTTTGTTTTTTTAAACTCTACTAATGTTTTTAAGT